TTCAGATTGTATTCCCCCTCTTAATAATCTTTGTAGTGTTAGCTTATTGTTTATTAATTCATTTAGTTTTTCTTTACTATTAAACATTTTAGTTTCTCCATCGAATGTGAATGCTAGCTTCGCTGGATATACCAGTTTGGGTTGGCAGTTACTGGTTCTCAGGACTCGGATGGTACTTTCCCAGGCTTTCCTTGCATTCATTGTCTGTGTGGAGAGATCTGCAGTGATTCTGATTTTTTTTTTCCATTGTAGTATAGCTCCTTCTTTGCTTTTGCTGCGTGCAAGATAGTGTCTTTATTATTCAGAGCTAGCCTTTTTACTATGATGTGCCTAGAAGTGTTTCTCCTGGAATCCTGTTTGCTAGGTATTCTGTATGCTTCTGTTATGTAGGTGAGATTTTTCTCTTTTAAGATTGGGGAAATTTTTGGTGATAATTTTATTGAATAAGTGTTGTACCCTTCTATTCTGGTATTCCTCACCTTTGTCCATCCTTATTATATGAAGGTTAAATTTCTTAGCATTGTCTGCTTTTTCTTGGACTTCCCTTTGGCATATTTTGAGTGTTTTTTCCTTATCTGTGACATTTTTCCCAGTTGCTGCTTTTTTTTGGGTTGGTTGTGAGGCTTGAACTTTGGGCCTGTGCACTGTCCCTCTTCAGCTCAAGACTAATGCTCTAACACTTGAGCCACAGGCCACTTCTGTTTTTTTTTTTTTCTGCTTATGTGGTGCTGAGAATCAAACCCAGGGCCTCATGCATCTAAGGCAAGCACTCTACCACTGAGCCACTTCCCAGCCCACAGTTTCTGCATTTTGTCTTCAGTACCTGATATTCTATTTTCCATTTCATTCACTCTGTTAACTTCCATTGTAGTTTGCGTAGAGGAAATGGAACTATTTATGATTTCTACGTCATTTCTCAAAGTATTAATTTTGTTTTTTAGCGATGTGTGTACTGCATCTATTCTTCAGTGCATTTCTTTTTGAAATCCTGAATCGCTTTTAATAATTGTTACTTAGTTCTTTAAATTTCTGATCCATTTCTTCAAGTCTGAGTCTTTGCCTCTACCAACTCTTGGATGTAGAGTTTGTCTTCCATTTCTTTTTTGCTTTCACTAGAGTTCTTCCCTGCATGACTGCTGGCCTTTGGGAATGGCTTGCTTTATTGGCTGTTGATGAACTTTATAATTTTTCACTGTGTTTTTTGCATGAGGATTCAGAGATTATTAGAGTCAAATCCCAAACTCTGTTTTGGGCAGTAGGTGTCTGTCTTCACTTAGTTCTGGGTTGGTTCCTGGGTCAGTAGCACACGCCTGGAGCACACAGGTGGGGCTTCTTCCACCGCCAGCTGTTGTAGCCCATGAATGCTGTTCCCAACTTCAGCCAGGGACCGGCAGCATAGCTCCACCTGGACTCCTGTCCAGTTACCTCCAGATTTTTGACTGGTTAATTGGGGTCTTTTCTGCCTGGGTCAGCTTTCAAACTGCTATCCTCAGATTTCAGCCTCCTAAGTAACTAGGATTACAGGTGTGGGCTTTCTGGCACCTATCTTATTTCCATTTTTAATTGAGATATAATTTATGTAGCATAAAATAGCCTTGTAAATAAATAGATAATTCATTGGCTTTAGTTTATTTATAAAACTGTGCAATATGAGAATTTTCTAATTTCAAAGCATTTTAGTTTCTTAGACTTAGGATACTAATTAAGAAATATTACACCCAGCATGGTGGCACATGCTTATAATCCCAGCACTTGGGAGGCTGAGGAAAAAAAATATTAAGTTCAAGACCAGTCAAACTATATAGACAATTTGCTTAAAAAATAAATAACATAGCACACCTGTCATCCTAGCTACCTGGGAACTAGGATTAAGGTCCAGGCTGGCCTGGGAATAAAAGCAAGAAGAATAATTATTTGAGAAATAACTGAAACAAAATGGGCTAGGAACATGACTCAAACACAGAGTCCTGAGTTCAAACCCCAGCACCACCATGTAGAAAGGTTTCATACTATTCATGGCTGGCCGTGTGTGTGTGTGTGTGTGTGTGTGTGTGTGTGTGTGTGTGTGTGTGTGTGTGTGTGTGTGTCTGTTTGTGTGCATGCGTGCATGCATTTACGTATGCTGGTGTGCCAGTTTTGGGGCTTGAACTCAGGGTCTGGGTGCTATTTCTGGCTAGTTTTGGAGCCAGTAGTCCTATCAGTGACTCCTGGGAACATGGCCTCTGTTCCACCTGTCAGTCCTTTGTCCTGGGCGGTGGTCTGCCCTGTGGCCTCTCCCATGGATCTCAGGAGAGAATTCCAATGTAGTTATTTATTTTTACCATTGTGTAGTGCTTTGTTAGATGGTGTACACTATCAGTCAGATTCCTTTAGATGAAATTTGGGTTATTCCTAGTCTTATGCTTTTAAAATAGTAGTGTGAACAGTTTTTTGTACCTGTGTTTTTTCTTTATTTTTTTATTTTTTGTGTTACTGGTATGTGAACTCAGGGCCTCTTGCAAGCACTGCCAGTTGAAGCTTGTTCTCAGCACTTCATTAGTTTTTCAGATAAGTCAGTCTGGGGCTGGCTTTGGGCCAAGATCCTCCTGTCTCCACCTCTGGGTTTGCTGGGATTATAGACATGTCTCTCTCACTGCAGCTTGGGATGAGGTTCCTTCACGATTTCTTTTCTTTTGTATCAGATTTTCTTCACCGTGATGTGGAGCAGTTTATGCTTTCATTGTCTTGTTAGATCTGTGCTCCAGTTCCCAGTTGTGGTTTAAATCGCTAGTTACTTAATTCCTTTGTACAAGAGTTTCTCTAGGACTTCCTGTTCTTCAGTTTGGATACCTTATAGTTTTGTCTTTGTGCTTAATTGACTTACTGTCCCTCATCAACAGTTTAAACAGTATTGCAAGTCCAAGTATAGTTACAGTGAGTCTGATAATTCTACTCCTGTGATTGTAGACAGAGGTGTGGATTGTGCTTGTGGGTTAGTTTGTTCGGTCAATATTCAATTTGTTTTTTGTAAATTGAAGAGGCAGGAGAGATGCTACTGGTTCTTCTTGTCTCAGGCCTCCATCCTCCCACTTACCTCATTTCTCAATCTAGGTTTGCTTAGCTGCTTGGTATTGTTCATGGTGCTGTTGCTGGAAGCAGCCAGAAGCTGTGCTGGCTGTAACAGCCAGGAGCTGTCCTTGGTGCTGATGGCAGTAGCCAGCCAGTTTAGTGTAGTGACTCATTCCCCACCCTCACCCCCACTGTCCATGGTACTGGTCATTCAGTCAAATGCTGTCCATGGTTTGCTGTGTGTCAGTCCCAGAATCCTTGGTTTAGCTAACTTTTATTTCATGACAGTGCTATGAGAGTGCAGACAGTATTTCTCTCCTGATCTTACAGACATGCAGACACATGCCTCAACTCACCCAGATAGTTCACCCCTTAGTGATCTGTCTGCTTCTTGCTCCCTTAAAGAAGAACAGACACATGCCATTTCTACTGGACACTTCTTAACACAGAACAACAGTGTTCTGGGGACATGGATAGACAAATGGACAGTAGACTTCTTAGAAAGAATTCACAGTGACTTCAGTGTATTTGAGTACTGCAGCATATCCCTGTGGGAATGAAGCTTAGCTTCCTAACACCATATCCAGAACCAGCTGTGGTGGAGTTTAGATACAAACATGGAGGGCAAAATGATAAAGTGTCTAGAAGAGAAAACAACATCATCTGCACCTTCCTGATACGTGGAGTCTTTAAGAAGACACAAGAAAGAAGCACTGGCCGTGAAAGAGAAGAGGGTGAGTGGATGTGCTCACACGGGACCTGGTGTCAACCATGAAGGAAGTGGGAAAGGCTCACTGTGATTTTCTAAACTCTACCACAGCTGGTTCTGGATATGGTGTTGGGAAGCTAAGCTTTGTTCCCATGGGGATATGCTACTGTTTCTTCTCCCTTATTTGATACAGAAGAAAGCACAGGCCTGGGTCCTTTCCTTCCCAGACTCTCACCTCACTTTGTCTTGGTTGGTTGGAGCCCTGTTCCCTGGCATGGCATGGTTGGTGGGGATCACCTGAGGGCTTGCCTCACACCACCACGAACATACCTTTGGCTGTGTTCTGTGGGTGTTCTTTTCTTTTATCTTTTCTTTTCTTATTTTTTTTTTTTTTAATCACTGGGTTTGAACTCAGAGCTTGAGTGCTGTCGGTGAGCTTTTGTGAGCTCACAGCTCTACTACTTTTGAGCCCAGGCTGGCTTCAAGATACAATCCTCAGATCTCAGCCTCCTGAGTATTCAGAATTATAGGCGGGAGCCACCAGTACCTGACCTGTGGATCTTAAGCAAGCTGCAGGTCCCGCCTCTGCAAGCCTGGAATTTCAGCCATGTGGTTCTGAGAATTTTGCGGCGTCTGGTGTGCTTGCTGCTAGAAGGGAGCTGAAGAATCAGGCTTTGATGATTGTTGTCTAACTGCCTTTCTTTTGCTTCTGAGGTAAACAAATGGTGACATGGACAGTCCATAAATGTGCCTTTTCTGCCAACAATATATGCAGTACATTAACAGTTTGGTCATCTGGAAACCTAAGGGTTTTAAATTAATTCTCACAGCTGGAGACTGTTCTATCAGTTTGCTGTTTCTTACTAAATCAGAAATGATTTTTTTTTTCTTTTTGCTTATGTGGTACTGAGGAGTCGAACCCAGGGCCTCATGCATGCAAGGCAAGCACTCTACCACTAAGCCATATTCCCAGCCTGTCTTACTAAATCAAGTTCAGTGCAAATGTGTCATGAATTATGTAGTTCAGTACCACCTAGGGTTAGACATTGTGAGGGAGGAAAATAGCCCATTCCCAAGTCTACTGCCCCTATCAGGGCATGTGGGGCTCTCCCGGAACATCACCTCAGGCTGTGCCAGCTCTCGCCTGACCACCTTCCCTGGGGACTGAGAGTTTGAGAATCTCACAAATAAATTGACGACTTCCACTCAGTCTAAAACAAAGCTGGCTTTTCCTTTCTTGTAGGAGCAACGCACTGTCTACAGACTGACGCTGGTCAAGTCTTGGAACGTGGATGAGCTCCAGGCTTATGCCAGGCTTGTGTCCCTGGGGAACCCAGACTTCATCGAGGTGAAGGTAGGTCCCAGGCCCTTCGCCCTCATGCTGTGCTGGCGGAGGCGCACTCAGCAAGTGCTCTCAAGCTCTCTGTAAGGGCTGAGGCCCTTGGCTTCCTCACCCCTCCAGCAGTATTCACTGGGAGCCTGCTGCACCCAGTATGCTGCTGGGAGAACTGCCATAGAGAAGACTAAACTTGTCTGTGAGAGCTTGCATTTAGTGAGGCCAAGATGACACAGAATGAGTCATTCTACATAGGGACAGTAAGCTGGGAAGTAAGTGTTTTGGTGAGGATTCATCTGGCTTTTAATAAACATTTACCATGGAAGATGTGAAATATCATTTCAGAAGTAGACGGGCATCTGCTGATCCCGGGCACCCATCACCCACCTTAACACTAGCACCTCTGATAGTCACTGCACCTGTACCCAGCCCATTTTCTCTGATAGTCACTGCACCTGTACCCAGCCCATTTTCTCTGCTCTCATCCCAGACTCCCAACATTGTCTCATTCTCTCAGATCTGAGATCCGTGCCAGGCTTGCACTTAAACATTTTAAATTATTGGAACACTAAGGCTTCAGATTTTAAGGATAATTTCTTCTTAAATTAAACGATTTATTTTTGCTGGAGATTGAGCCTCAGGGCTTTGTGCATGCTAAGCAAGTGCTTTATATTGTCAGCCCCAGACTTTATTTTCCTCCCTTCTCCTTTTTCCTATCTTCCTATCCTTTGCTTCCTTTTTTTTTTTTTTTTTTTTTTTTTTTGGTGCTGGTGCTAGGACTTGAGCTCAGGGCCTCTTGTTCTTGTTTTGTTTTTCCACTCAAGGTTTACACCTCCAGTTCTGGCTTTTTGCTGCTTAACTGGAAATCAGAGTCTCACAGATTTATCTGTCTGGGCGGTCTCTGTAACTTGATGCTCAGATCTCAGCCTCCTCACTAGCAAGGATTACAGGCTAAGACCATAGGAGCTTCCAATTCCCATGTCTTAAGTTTCTTCCTCAGCACTCTCTTATGCCTTTTCTCTCTTACATTTGTATATTAAATATATACACACATATATATATATGTATGTATATTTAAAATATATACACATATACACATAGAAAATGAATTTCCCCCAGCATATCCTGTGGACTTGTACTTAGATCAAGAGGCCAATTTCTATACTATTGGTGGGGAATTCAACTAATGCAGCTATCATGGCAATTTGTATGGAACTTCCTTGTAAAACTATAAACTTCCACATAGTCCTGTTATACAATGTGGTGTTTATATGCAAAGGAATATTATTCAGACATAAAGGAGAACAGTATGTCATTTGAAAAGAAATGGATGGAACTGAAGATCATTGTGTTAAGCAAAGTCAGCCAGATCCAGAAAGACAGATGACACTTTTTTTAAAAATTGAGATTAGATAATTACATAAATTTCACATATTCACAGTATTATAGATTACTTTCTTTTTCAAATACAGAATCTAGACTAAGAAGAGACATGAAATTAGAAGGGAACTATTTGGGAAGAGGACAAGGAATAGTTGGGCGGGGGATTGGGGATGGGGGGAAGGTGGGGAGGAGGCCAAAGAGGGTCACAGGGTGGTGGGGATGGGGGTTAACATTATCCAAGTGCTTGATGTGCATCTACAAAAATGCCTAGTGAAGCCTACTGTGTTGTACAGTTAGGACACAAAACACGTGAAAGGAGCAGTGAACATATAGTATAGTAAAACCCACTATGTTATACAGCTAATACACTCTAACAGAAGACTGATCACACTCAGACAGTGTGTGTGTCCAGAAAACATCACCCTGGTGATCCTGCCTGGTGTCCATTCACTGCTTATTCCAGGTGTATTTTGGCAGTGTTCTTAGGGATGGATCCCTCTAGGTGGATTTCTGGGTGAAGAGTGAATTTGTATGCTGTTTTGCTAGTGTTTATGGCTTCCTGTTTCAGGAAGGCTCTTCTGAGAGGATGGCTTTTTTAGGAAGCCTGATGCCTGGTACTAGAAGCAAGACAGTAGGCAAAGCTTAGTAGGGTGGTGGCATTGTGGCAGGAAGCAGGCTAGCACAGGCAGCACCCTTAGGGTTGCTGCACGCAGGGTGGATCAAGAGCTCTGGGACAGAGTGATGAAGCACTTTGAGGAAAGGTGGGGAATTGGACTTGAACTTAAATTTAAGCTTTATAAATACGAGGTGCACTAGGGTATTACTCCTTGAGAATAGAAGCTAGGCACTGATACAGCCTAGTTAATGATTTTTAAAGATCGCTCACTCCTGGGCCACGAGTGGACTTTGGAGGGTAGTGACAGAAGTTTGTAGACCAGTTTTGAAGTTATTGCTCAGTCCTAGCAAAATCTGTGATGATTGAGGAGCTCACTTGTAATGCAGCTGGAGAGCAGTGGGTGCCTTTAACATAGTTCTTGGTAGTAGAGCCTATAAAATTTACAACTACATGCACTGAGTGAGAAAATAGAGATCATGAATAGTACCTGAGGGCACATTGATGCACTCCTGTCATCCTAGCTACCTGAGTGGTAGAAGTGGGAGGATTGCCATTTGAGTCTAGCCCAGGCAAAAAGTTACCAAGGCATTGGTAGTGGATCACTGTGAGGCCAGCCCCAGGCAACAGCACAAAGCCCTGTAGAGGGACAAACTAAAGCAAAAGCGTTGGAGGCGTGGCTCAAGTGGTAGAGTAATGTTAGACCCTGAGTTCAATTTCCTGAACTGACCAAAGAACAAGAAAGAATACCACTGGGTTTTGGCTTGGACAGTGGCATGAAGCTGAGGCAGTTTACCAAGGTAGAGAAAGCCAGGAGGCAAGTTACGGGACAGCACTGTGAATTTCCTGTTAGCTCTGTTAAAACAGACATCTTTTAAGTACCATGGATAGGTTCGCACAGGCCATGGAGTCATGATTTAGTATTCATCAGCATGAAATGATAGTTAAGCCTGTGGAGGCTTAGGCAAATGACTTTTTTTGTTTTTGTTTTTGTTGTTGTTGTTGTTTGTTTTGTTTTGTTTTTTGTCATCAGTTATGGGGCTTGAATTCAGGGCGTGGGCGCTGTCCCTGAGCTTTGCTGCTCGGGGCTAGTGCTCTACCATTTTGAACCACACCACCACGTCTCGTTTCACGGAGTTTCCTATCAGAGCTGGCTTTAAACTCAACCTCCTGAGTAGGTAGAATTACAGGCAGGAGCCATCAGTGCCTGGCCCACAAATGACTTTTTTTGTTGTTATTGTTTCTTGTTTGTTTATTGAGACAAAGTCTCACTGTGAAAATGAAGCCTTTTCATTGGATTTGAACTTGTAGTTCTCCTGCCTTGGCCTCTTGAGTAGTGAGGGTTACAGGTGTGCACCACCACACTCAGCTAAGAGGCACATGACTTCTGTTGAAAACTAAGTGCCCACAAAATAAGAGAAAGTGGCAGGAAAATTTCCTGTCTCTGAAAGCTGACCCTACTTTCAAAGCATGTGTTTTTAAAGTGAATGTTCTGTGTGCATGAGGGGACGATGCAGATGTTCACAGCTGTTTGTAAATTCGGCTTTCTCTATTACTCTACTCTGGAGGGGCAAAGGGTGCAAATGAGATGTTGCTCCCTGACTGTATATTTTATTCATGTTTTCTTTTGAAATTGTTCTTAATTTCAAAAAGTGACTCTTGGCCAGAGCTTTAATGATGCAAAGATACAAATTGTATCTGAAAATATATGTCCTGGCTTAATACTGTGCCAGCATTAGCAATCAGTGGTGCTTTAATTTACGATTTAGCTATTAAAGTATGCTGCCTCAAATTATGGTGCAGTAAAACCTCTATTATTATAAAGCAGCTTGGCTGATGACTTGGTCACTTTATATCTCCCTCTTTCCTTCCCTTTCTTCTCTCCCACCCCTCCTCATTTCCTTTCCCATCTCAGTTAATAAAAGATGGACAACCGGGCGCTGGTGGCTCACGCCTGTAATCCTAGCTACTCAGGAGGCTGAGATCTGAGGATCGTGGTTCAAAGCCAGCCTGGGCAGGAGAGACCGTGAGACTCCTATCTCCAATAAACCACCAGAAAACTGGAAGTGGCGCTGTAGCTCAAGTGGTAGAGTGCTCGCCTTGAGCTGAAGAGCTGAGGGACAGTGCCCAGGCCCAGAGTTCAAGCCTCACGGCCGACAAAAAAAATAAAAATAAAAGATGGACATAGTGGAGGATATCTGTCATTTCAGCTCTGCAGGAAGAACTGGAGGGTCAAGATCCAGGCCAGCTTAGGCATAAACAAGAGACCCTGTCTAAAAACTATGAAAGCAAAGGACTGAAGGACTGACCACATGGTCATGTACCCACCGAGCAGGCCTAGGGCCCAAGTTCACAGGCCAGGGTCATCAAAAGTAATAAATACAGGAAGTGGTACTGTGTCAAGTGGTAGAGTGCTAGCCTTGAGCTAAAGAGCTGAGGGACAGCGCTGAGGCTCAGAGTTCAAGCCCCATGACTGACAAAAGAAAAAAAAAAAAAAGAAAGAAATGTAATTCTAGGACTTGAAAATTAGAAAACATACATGGTATTATACCAAATTGTGTGCAGATTAGCAAACACACAGGGTACGTTGTGGCTGTAACACCCTTGGGTCAGGAGGGAGATAGGCAGTACCTGGCAGGCAGAGGCAGGTTTGTGAGTTCAAGGCTAGCCTGCACTATATAATGAGACCTGGTTTCTGAAGAAGAAGAGTTAGAAAAGAAACGAGAGAAGGGTGGGTAGAGCGTGCACATGCTGGACTGGTATGGTGGCTAGCCACAGCCCTTGCGTCTTCTCTCCCAGACAGGCGTGATCCTCATGCTGGCATGGGCCTGGTAAGCACATGTAGGGACCACGCTCAAGTGTGCTGTGGAGAAGACTCTGTGTGTGTGTGTGTGTGTGTGTGTGTGTGTGTGTGTGTGTGTGTGTGTGTGTGTGTGTGTGTGTGTGTGTGTGTGTGTGTGTGTGTGTGTGTGTGTGTGTGTGTGTGTGTGTGTGTGTGTGTGTAGGGCCCATGCTCGAGTGCGCAGAGCATGGCATATGTGGCCCACATGGACCAGGCTGCCCAGGGCCCAGGTGTGGTCAGTCTAAAACGAAAGGACACATCTTCTCCAGGGGTAGGGGATCCTGCAGTATCCCTGGTACCTGATCTGGTAACAATTAGGTACATTTCATTAGGCACCTTTATTTAAAGTACATCAGTAGAAGCTATTCTTTTATTATGCTGATTTCCTCTGTTCTTTCATTGCTAGTCTTGTGAAGTATTTGTCTTTTCATTGTAAATTAACATGCATTTTAGCTCAATTAGATGTAAACAGGTCTTTATTTGTTGGTCTGAGACTCTGAACTGTCATTATTTGCTTGCTTATTTATGAAACAAATGCCTGCTTCATTGCAAACTCTAGCAGCAAATCCATTTGTGCCAGAAGTCCTGCTTGGTGTGCTCCGCCTAGCATTGCACCACGGGAGCTGCAAGAGCTTGAAATAATAATAACATAGAAAGTATGGCTGAGCTGGGCACAGTGGCACAGTGGCTCAATATGCAGAGATCAGATCACAAATCAAGGCCAGCCAAGCAAAAAGTTCACATAATCTCCCCATTGTCCCAATGTCAGCCAATGTAAAGTGGGGTGAGGTGGTATGTGCCTGGCATCTCAGCTGCCTTAGCACTGCTGGGTGCTGTCCCTGAGCTTTGCTGCTCAGGGCTAGTACTCTACCGCTCTGAGCCATAGCACCACTTCCAGTCTCACGGACTTTCCTTCCAGGGCTGTCTTTGAACTATGGTCCTCAATGTCAGCCTTCACAGAGGCAGGGGAGGCGCCTGATTGTGTTAACAGTGGAGCCATAACCCTGAAAGAGAGGGAGAATCCTGAAGAGTTCTGGAACTGGCTGTGTAGAACACGTCACCTGATCCTTGCTCATGTAGTTTAGCTTGGTAGGGGCACAGAGAGCACCCAGGCGCAGTCCTGCTTGCCAGGAGCTGAGCTCCGGCCCACCCTCATACCCACTTTCTGATAACTTCCACATAGGGGATGAAGAGACTCAGGTCAGTGGGGAACCAGCCCCAGTACAGGGCTTAGAGTGGTTCAGTTCTGAAGACATTTGTGCATGCGCACAGGGTAAGAGCTCCCAAGTGGCCTCCAGTCCCTTGTGAGACAGTTATGAAGGAAGGTGAAGGCCTCGTGGCCAGGCCGTGAGGCCGGGCTGAACTGAGGGGAGCTGTGGACACTTTTAGGGTAAAGACATGTTTGAGTATGTTATCAAAGCCAGTATTTCTTTAGTCATTAAACTTGGGGCAAAAAAAGTTGCAGCAGTCTTTTGGCATCCATTCAGTTAAAGTGGAATATCAAAGTCAAAGTGCCCAGATACTGCTCTTCCCCTAGATGGAGACCCCAGATGAAACTTCCCTCTGGCTCCCAGCTCCCGGAGTAGCACTTGACCACATGGAGATGCCCCTTCTCAGCCAGTGATTCCACACCGTGGTTTTGCCTATCAGTGCATTTCCCTATCAGTGGGTTTCTTCAGGTTGCTGGGGGAAGACGTGGCGGCTGGTAGTGAGTAGATGGTGGCTGAGGAGGGGCAGGCAGCATCCAGTTCTGTTGGGAGGCAGTCCATGTTTCTAGATAATTCAGTCTGTTGTGCTTTCTCAGGAATGGCTGAGCAGAGGGATCTGCGGACAGCAAGGTGTGGGGTCATGGGGTGACCTCCACTCCTGTCATGGAGGCCCAGCTCTGCTTGTCCCAGAGGTTCCAGTCCTGTTGCCCACATTCCTGGCTGACTCAAGGAGCGCTCCTGTGGGGCCCTGAGGAGCAGCAGAGGTGAAGGCGGTGGCCTGTGGCATTCCCTCATTCCTTTGCCAGACCTGGTTTCCTTTCAAGTTCACCATTTCTCATTGCCAGATAATAAAATAGCAAAATGTTTTCAGAAGCTGTTGTCATGAATATAAGAGCCTATCCGAAATCTCCATGCTTTAGCAAACTTTTTAAATAGTAAGTCCCAGCTGGGGCCCTACGACCAACCAAAAATAAATAGATAACTAAATAAATAAATAGTAAGTCCCTCTGAATTAGCTACTACCCATACGATTTTACTACCACTATTCATAAGCAATTTAAAATTGAAATTAAGTGTATTCCATGACCTTATCAATAAATCATTTCCTGTTTTTTTGTTTTGTTTTGTTTTTTGTCGTGGGGCTTGAACTCTGGGCCTGGGCACTGTCCCTCAGCTCTTCAGCTCAAGGCTAGCACTGCACCACATGAACCACAGTGCCACTTCCTGCTTTTTCTATGTATATGGTGCTGAGGAATCAAACTCAGGGCCTCATGTATGCGAGGCAAGCGCTCTACCACTGAGCCACCTTCCCAGCCCCATTTCCTGTTTTTTATGCATTTGGGTAAATTTCAGCAGTTTTTCAGTAATACTTTCTTTCTTCTTTTTTTTTTTTTGTCAGTTGTGGGTCTTGAACCCAGGGCCTGGCCATTGTCTCTGAGCTTTTTTGCTCAAGGCTAGTGCTCTACCACTTGAGCCACAGTTCCACTTGCAGTTTTTTGGGGGGCAGTCTATTGGAGATAAGAGTCTTAGAATTTCCTACCTGGCCTGGCTTCAAGCCACGATCCTCAGACCTTAGCCTCCTGAGTAGCTAGGATTACAGGTGTGAGCCACTGGTGCCTGGCTATTTTAGTTATTTAATAGAGTCTTATTTGTATGCCCCATCTGGCTTATGCATACTTTCTAGGCAGCTGTAATACCATCTTACATTGGTTGACATTGGGGCAGGGGGGAGATCTTGTGAACTTTTTGCCTGGCTGGCCTTGGTCTGTGATTCTCCTGATCTCTGTGTATTGAGCCACTGTGCCCAGCTCAACCATACTTTCTCTGTTGTTGTTATTATTATTATACTCTTTCCAGACTCATAACTGGTTTCCTGAGTTCTGTGAGTCTGTACACAGACTGAAAAGATTTTCTTGTGGGGCCTAATTCATTTGGGTTGTGGGTCATTTGTATTCAGCCTTGGGTACCAGTCATCTTCCTGAGCAGCCATTTGGGGCAGGGCATTCTACACAGCTCCTCCGAGTCTCCAACCAAATCCCAGCTGGGCCATCTGCAGGGCACGTCCCTGCAGACTCACTGGAGAGTGAGCTGCTTTTTAAAATTCCATTCTGCCTCTTCTTGTCTCTGTGCTGTCTCTGCGCGCATGTCTGTGTGAGGAAGTGTGTGCAGCATTGCACCTCAGTGGCTGCCCGCTTGGGAGCCACAGCCTCATGGTAGTCCTTGGGAGGCAGAGACTGGAGCCACCAGGAGAAAAGGGCTGGGGCACAAGGCGAATGGTGGCCAGGTTGAGGCCTTGAGTTGAGTCTCTAGGATGGCAGGGGAGGGGGGAAGGGACAGAGTTTGATTTGGGGAAATGTGAAAAGCTCACGGTTCAGATATCACCTATTTTCAGAATCATTGTCACTACATGATTGACCAGGTGGGGCACTGAGTTATGAAACTTGGGTTATGTATGTCTGGTTTTTCAAGTAGAGTTCAAGACTTAGAAGCCAATTTATATCTTCCAGAAATTCCGTGGGTGCTTTCTAAGACCAGGAGGGAACAGTGGGTCTTCAGAGTCCATCTCCTGAATGGTAGGAAGTACAGCTGACTAAACACAGTTCTCCACAGTGCCCGGTCACTGCAGAGCATGGCCAAGTGACAAGAATCCTGGCCGGTCCTGTGTGTGTTCATCTCCAAGTAGCATAGCTTCCTGCTGCATCGGGCAGGTGCCATCGCCTTCAATGGCTCTAGAAGCCCTTCTGGCTCTGGAAGTTGGACTCTGCCACTCTAGTGACATTTGTAACCACCTGCCTGCTGTGATGTTCTAACAGGGTGTCACCTACTGTGGAGAGAGCTCGGCCAGCAGCCTTACCATGGCCAATGTGCCCTGGCACGAGGAAGTGGTGCGCTTTGTTCAGGAGCTGGTGGAGCTGATCCCCGACTACGAACTCGCCTGTGAGCACGAGCACTCCAACTGCCTGCTGATAGCACACAGGAAGGTGAGGCCACCATCCTCCTGCTCCCCTTCCCTCCTCTCTCCTCCCCTCCCTGTCTCTCCTTCCTCTCCTCTCCTCCCCTCCCAGTCCCTCCCTGCTCCCCTTGACACCTCCTCCTTGCACAAGCATTCCAGCTGCCTTCTGGTCACACATTGGAAGGTGAGGCTGCTGTCCTCCCATACCCCTCTACTCCCTTCCCCTCCCCTCCCAGCTCCTCCTTGCTCCCCTCCTCCCTGCCTGAGCACCCCAGCTGCCTCCTGATTGCACACTGGAAGGTAAGAGTGCTTTCCTTCTGCTCTCCTCCCCTTCCTACCTTACCCCACCTCCCCTCACCACGTGCTATATTCCCAAGAGAAACAAGGCCCTCAATTCTCTCTCTTGGGTCCCCTCTCTGTTCCTGAGCATTTTCACTCAAGGCTAGTGCTCTGCCACTTTGAGCCACAGCACCACTTCTGGAATTGCTCTTTTCTTTAGCCCCATCTAGACATCCCAAAGTGCCTTCTAGTTGTAATTTTTAGAAAGGTGCATGCTTAGAAAAGAAAACCTTGTAGTAACCTCTAGTCCTTCCTGGAATGACAGGAGGAACAAAAATAGTCAGCCCCCATCGGAGCCTCTAGCTGTCAGGAGACATTCTGAAGTGTTCATCAAATAGCCGAGTTTTGTCATCTGGAAGATTCAGTTTGAGATTCCAGTTCCTGACACTATTTCTGCTCTTCTTCTGTAGCTTGTTTATTAGGCAAGCTGAGAACTCTTCTGGCATGTGTGTGGTTTTTTTTTTTTTTTTTTGGGTCTGGCTGTGGGGCCCGAACTCTGGGCCTGGGCACTGTCCCTCAGCTCTTCAGCTCAAGGCTAGCGCTCTACCACTTGAGCCACAGCGCCACTTTCGGTTTTTTTCTTTTTGCTTATGTGGTGCTGAGGAATCGAACCTAGGGCCTCGGGCATACAAGGCAAGCGCTCTACCACTGAGCCACCTTCCCAGCCCACTCTGGTGTGTTTTTAAGTAAAAAATTCCTAACAAAAGAAAATCAGTTTCTTGTTAGCTTGGTCACTAAGAAGTAAAATTCACGTTTGAACATTTGTGGTGATGATTGTGTCCTGTTTACAAACACATAGTGCCACCTCTGGGGTATACTCACTGCTGTAGACTAGTGAGGTCAGGCCTTGAGCTTACTGTGGTTAGATGGTATATGTGTTGGTATGCTATTAGAACTTGGGTGTGAAGTGTGAGGTCAGGTCTCGCGCTGACCACAGTTAGACTACATGTTTGCATGTGGTCACTGTTGGGAGAGAGTGAGTTCTGGTCTCTCAGAGGTCCAGAGGACAGGAAAGGATCGGAGACTGAATGTTAAGGTGAGCACACATGACCTTGCCAAGGTCACTGCTCTCAAGGAAGGATAGAGGAGAGCGGAGGCAGGGCTTTCTTGTTTCCTGTGATGCTCACGGATCCCCGTGTGTGCCTACAGGGCTGTGCTCAACACTAAGGACTCAAGCAGACTCTGCAGAGAGAAAGACCACATCTAAAGAGGGCACGTGTCTAGATGTTTTATCCTAGCTGTCAAGGGCAGGGTACAGAGAGGCGGGGTATGCTGGGCAAGGTGGCTGTTGCAGATGCTTCACTGAGGAAGGACTTGCTCCCTGACTGGACCAGCAGCCAGTACAGACCCAGGACCAGGAGCTGCAGAAATGCGGGCCCTGGGGAGCTCGTACAGCGGCAGGGAGTGGGGGGAGGGGGGCAGACACAGGACCCTGCTGGGAAGGTGGGAATGGGGGGGGGGCAAGCAAGGTTACAGACAGCTACTGTAGAGTTTAAAGGAAGCAGTTTGTGATATAGCAGGGAAACCACATTGCAGAAACAAAGGAATCATGGGCCCTAGAACCCAGGCTGAGGGGGTGGGGGGAAGGGCTCTGAATACCCACCCCCAACCCACCCCACACTCCCAGCCCCAGGGCTGGGCTTCTAGGAAGGGTGGGAAGGCCGGACAGCCAGGTGAGTAAATCCCCTGCAGGTGTGGCCAGCTTACTTCTGAAGTCCAGGGCTCACCCTCCGAAGACCTGAGTTCCAGGACACACTGTGCTCCTTGGTTTTGTCTGGTCGGATAGTATTACCCTGCTTCCTACTCTACCATCTTTCCAGACTGTGTCTGGAGGTGGCATTAGGGGAATTCTCAAGTTAGCGTTGCCATCAGCCCCTAGCACAGCACCTGCTGCACCCTGCCGCTGGGACATGTTTAAATTCAGCGAGAACACACCACTTGTCCACCTGCTGGGTGTAGTTTCCTGTCTCCTAAGGCGAGTACAAAGGTTAGTGAAGCTGGAGTCCTCTCTCACTCCTCAGCGGGAGACAATCCAGGTAGAAAATGCCTATGTCCTGATCTAGTTTCTGTAAGTGTATGTCTTTTTAAATGACCATTTCAGGAAGTCAAAGTAATCTGTTGTCTTTGATAGAATTTATCAGCCTCTTCTAATAGTGCAGAACACCCCTTGCCATTGTTCTGTGTACTGCGTCTTTCCCAGGTGCCCTCCTCACCGCGCTTCCACTCCACAGATCTCAACCTGGGTGTCTGGCCAGCCTGCCAGCTCCGTCCATCCAGGCTGGGCCCCACCCTGCTGCAGTGTGTGTTGGGGGCGGGGGGGGGGGGGTCACCTGTGACCTTTTGAGCTTATTTGTGGTTGTGCGCACATTTACTTCTTGTGTGGCTGGCTTTGAGGAGCCCTTGGAGCAGGAAGACCTCATGTCTCAGGGCACTTAGCTGTGAGTTTCATTTTGTGGTCTGGGTTTAATTTCAACATGGTTTGTGTGTCAGTCAAACAGATTTTGCCCTTTCAGCCTTTGCCTTTTGCAGGAGACAGTTGACTTTTCCTGAGCTACCTATTCCATTTTCCTTCAGTATCTTCATTCTCACATCTTGCATGGCTTGTGTCAATTCAGTTTTTGTCTTGACCCCCAAGACAAAAACAGATGGTACCTGTTACTGTGTGTCCCCAAATTCCTAGATCACTGTTCTAACCCCTAAGTCAGATGTACTTAGAGATGGGACTTGTCAGGAGACATTACAGCTAAAGGAGGCCCTAAGGGTGGGCTCTGGCCCAACAGGACAATGTCCTGATAAGAAGATACCGGAGGAGCTGACTAGCACAGGCAAGCAGACACCATGCAGACATGGCAGGCAGGCTTGGCCAACTTGCACATCAGGAGGGCCCTCGCTATATCCCAGTGGGCCACATCCTGTCTTCAAGAAGCCAAGAGAAGCGCTGTTCTGTGGTTGGCCGTTCTGGTGGTAGAACTGTGCCCTGCCACCGGGGCTGACTGTGCGTGCATTCTACATCACAGCCACTTGGGGGCTCAGTGCTGACCTGTCCAGTTTTAATGACCATGGTAATCTCCATACATCTTGTTTTTTCACCCTGATCCAGGGCAGAGCTTCAGCATCAGCGTGAGGTCCTCCAGTGTCTGTGGGGTTAAGAAATTCAGTTTTCTGGGTTTCACTCAGCTGGGCTTTATAAACGGTATCCATTCAGTACTATTGCATGTGTGCATGCTAGAATGAACAGTGAAATATGTTGTTCACTACAAGCCTTGGTTACCTCGAAAACATTAGTCACTTGCTCCTCACCCTTTGTCCCCCTTGGGCTGGCCATGGCTGGCATGATTGTAGCTTAAGGGAGTTGGTGAGCAGGGCCTGGGCACGGAGGATCAGACTTCCCATACCTGGAGATTGAACCCCAAAAGAGAGAGGCCAGTGATAGGAGGAACCAGGGGAAGCAGGGCCAAGACGACTCCTGGGGGCCGAGTCTGGGGGCAGCTGCCAAACACTGCCTTTCCCTGCACTCCCAGATCCTTGCCAGACCCCAAGATGGGGCCATGCCCATTGCTGCCCCTCCATGATGAGAGAAGGAAGCAGTAACAGATGCCATCCCTGCCCTCAGCCACCTGCGTAGCCACAGGGAAATACCTGCCTCTGAAACAAAAGCAGTATGTCCAAGTTGTATGAGCTCTTAAATGTCCACCCCACTCAAAGAGTGGAACAGCGTGAACCCCAGGACCTTCTCCTGTGCTGCTCTACTAAGAACAGTTCTGTGTGAAGTGCCGGTACTGGCTGGGCGTTACCACATCAGGAGACTGGCGCCTGGGAGTGCTTCAGGAAGCAGTCCATTCTGCTCTGTGAGGAAAGCCAGCAGCAGCAAGTTTCCACTTGTCCTGGGTGTCAGTGGAGAGTTTCCATCCTGTGGAGGATGGAAGGTTAGAGAGTGAGGAATGGCTGCCCCATGTGGTCTAGGCAATTGAGCAATGGCGAAGTGGGGTGGGGGCTCACAGGAGGACAGCACCAAATCCTGACCATGAGCAGAGGTGGCGCAGGATCAGCACAGAGCTGCTGTGGCCCAGCTTTGTCTAAAGGGATTCACCCCAGAGCAAGGATAGAGACCCTGGGAGGAAGGAGGTTGTGGTTGAAAGACAGGGACCACCCCCGAAGCCACATGCAGACCTCCTGTTCCATGTGGTGGCATCTCTGGCTCCAGGCAGCCTGTAAAGGCCACAGAAGCTGAAGTGCTTGCTATGAGGCTGTGACCCAGAGAGATCACCTGGCTGTGCAGGCGCTGGTGGTGGATGGGCTGCCAGGTACGGTTCTGAGTGGCCGGGGAGCTGATCACCCTGGAGCAGGTCTAAGCCTGCACCATAGTAGTTTCCTCCACAGGGGTCAGAACATGTAGCTGTGGGTCTTTTTTTCAAAAATTACTTTATTGTTACTATAGAGGCGATGTACAGAGGATTACGATTACATGAGTCAGGTAATGAGTACATTTCCTTTTGTACAGTGTCTTCTGTTCCTCCCTCCTAATCCCTCCATCCTGTCTCTACCCACGAGTTGTAGAGTTCACTTCCACCAGTGTCCATTGAGCTCCACTGCTGCAGATTTTTCACCCTTTTTCCCTCGAGTTCTGTACCCTCCCCCCCAACCCTCCTGACACACTTGAATACACCATACCTAAGGAAAAGAAGACAGAATCATCAAAAAATTAAAAAAAAGAAGATCTCTTGGTTCCGTATCTTGGAGTTCATTTCAATGTACATATTATGTTATGTAAATATGAAGAGACACATAGGCATTGCACCTTTGCAGTTTCCTCTGCTGTCAGGCTTGGGAGAGAAGATGAAGGCTTTTGGGAAGCAATTCATTTAAGAGAACACAAATTAGATTATTCCCATTTTTCAAATTGAAATTCTTAACAGGCTTTCTCCTAATGAGGTACTGTGTACAAACCAGACTGTGGAGCTAGTTTGAGTCATCTAGTTGCACTTCGTATTGGAAGCCATCGATAAACATTTACTAATAACTCAAGCAAGCTAATAAAAAGCCTTTTGCTAGTGGCCCTAATGCAGCCCTTGGGACACAGAATGGGCTATGAGCATTGGATGTCCTGTGGCCCACTGCTCCAGGCCCCCCGCCTGCCCCGGGATGGCTCTCATCCAAGAGGAGTCCCTCTGCAGGGCACCCCACCCCCACCTGCCCCAGGTGGCCTATCTAGGAAGAGGCCCACTGTGGGGCGCCCCTGCGTACCGCCCCTACCCACCATGGGGCATAGTCCAGGGAAAGAAGCTTTCTTTACTGCACTGTGTCTTGGCTTCACAGGAAGCTTATTTTGAACATGGATTTCTGTTTATATGATATGATAGAAAAAAAAAATCAGTCTCCTCTGCAGTTTTTCTGTATTTATTTGATGTTTTTCCCTGTGGGTAGCTTTGCTTCTGACCGAGCACTTTCTTCCAGTTTAAGATTGATGGGGAATGGTGGACGTGGATTGATTACGGACGCTTCCAGGAGCTCATCCAGCGGTATGAAGGCAGTGGTGGCTCAGAGACCTTTGGTGCAAAGGACTACATGGCCCGGACTCCCTTCTGGGCACTGTTTGGTGCCCAGGAGCGAGGCTTTGATCCCAGGGACACACGGCATCAGAGGAAGAGCAGATCGAAGGACGTTTCTGGATGCTGAGCTTATCTGACTTGAGGATGCCAAAGGACACCAGCCAGACGTCCCGGGTGGTTCCTGGGCTCCATCCCACAGCCTTTCCAAGGACACCTGTCACACTGCTTCTGCCCTGCAGAGACAGCAGCCAGCCTGTCACACCTTTCTACCAGAGCTCAGCTCTTCCTCATTCTTATATCTGAGAAGAATATCATCTGGAATTTAACAGTTTTTTAATTATATTTTGGTATGACTTCCTAAAGTGCTATTCATAAGAGTGCTACACAGAAATAAATAATTGTGCTCCTCTCTTTCTGGGCTACTGGCTTGTTTTGCTTTTGTTTTAAAATTAAAAGTATTTTTTTGTAGCCCAGGTTGGTCTCAGACGTAAGATCCTCCTGCCTCAGCCCCCCTGCGCTAGTACTACAGGCGTTCATTGCTACATCTGGCTCTCAGAGCTATTGGCTACTTTGGAGTAGCCGCTTAGCCTTAAACTGAACTGCCCTGATTAAAACATCTGCTCTACTCCTTTCTTGGATTTTAAGATAATACCTGCTGAAAATAAGTTCTGCATTGATCACTTCAAATTTTGCTTATTGCCAACTTCTTGTGAAATTTCCATGGCACTGGAAGGATGCTAGGTTTCAACCCTGTTCCCAGATTGCCATAGCAGGTGATGCAGTGGCTGGACCAGAGCGAGGTAACAGTGCCCAGTGGTCAGCCTCTCCCATGGGAGGAGTCCTCGTCCCCATTCCCAGCAGGCCTGCATCTTCCACTCCCAGCCTTCACTGCTGTGCTTGTCTGTTCTTTACATATTCTCTTATGGAAAACACCGAATATTTTTCCAGGTTGCCAGAAGTATTTTATGATTCTTTCATCCGAAATGAAATTAATAAAGTAATCTTTTATAAGGACTTGGAACACAAATGCTCTTTAACTTGCTCAGGTGTATAGCCACTGGCGTTGGCACAGGTCGTCTGGTAAGTCAAGCCTGCTGCCATTTCCTTCTTCTTCTTCCTCCTCCTCCCCCATTTCTCACATACAATTTTCCTCTTTCTCTAAGTAGAAGTAAAATTGTAGCTAACTTCATCTTCCTAACTCACCTAATTGTATTTTTTGCTCCGTGTGGAATTCTTTCCCTCACTGTGGTAGTCACAAGCCTCATTAATAAGCCGTGTAAGAAGGAAGGATTTCTTGGGCTCGTGGTTTCAATCCATGGTGACTTGGCCTGAGACAAGGGTGACCATCATGGTGGACAGACAGTGTGTAGGGACAGAGTGGCCCCCTCACGGCCGCTGGGAGGCAGAGCAGGGAAGGAAGTAGAGAGCCCAGGAAGAAGCTGGAGCCAGCGAGGCAGCAGAAAGATGGGCAGGGCAGGAGAGAAGGAAACTGTAGCAGGGGCAAGCTATACCCCTCACAGGTGGGTATATCCCAGTGACCCACTTCCTCCAGTCAGGCCTACTGCCTACTGAACCTCCCACCCCAGCATGGCATCAGGTTGTGAAGCTGTGGATGGAGGAGCCCACTGGTGTAGTCAGAGCCTCTTGGTCATTTCCCCTAAGCTCATAAACTACAAGACTGGGAAATCAGGAAGAAACTGGGATACCAGAGTGACAAACTCAGCACCAGCCCGGGTCCGCAGCTGGGTTCTGACTCTGAGAGGAGTCAGCATACACCTATACCACGCTAAGGGCCCAGCGGTGGTGCTTTGCGGGTCCCTCTGCTATCTGTACCTCATTCTCCCCAGGCTGCAGGTGAGTGTTCCCTAAACTCCCTTCATTACAGTGGTTATTCATTACAATGACTCTCAGGACCAAGAGAACAGTTCACCTGCCCTAGATTTTGAAGACAGAAAGTAGTCAGCTGAAGAAATGGGCAGGGAGCACTCTAGAAGGGCCCCCTGTGCAGGAGTGTCCCTCCCTGCCTGGATGTGTTGGGGGTGGGCTCAGTCAGCCCTCAGCCCTGAAAAGGAGGAAGCTTTCTGACCACATTCACTTCACGTGCATAAGTGAGTGCTGTCCTTTCAAGCCAGAAAATGCTGATTTGTGGCTTGATAGTAAAATAATAACAGGCCATTATTCTCAATTCACAGTCACAATGGACCAGGCTTAGGGAGCATACCATGGAATCTACATGGGGGGGTGGAAAATCAGTAAGTTTGCCAAATAGTTTAAGTAGGAGAAAGTGGGAGCTTATGGTGTTGTACTAAGGCAATTTATTTTACACAATAACCTTCTAATTTCCAATGGAATATTCTTTTGTGAAGCTTAAGTAAATTGACTCTAACATCCAAATGAAAAATTAGCCAAATAGGTGGGAATAGCTAAAAAATTTTAGAGAAAATAACAAAGGAAAGTTGTTTTAAAAGATACTGAAACATGATTACTGAATAATTAAATGAGAGAAGACCTGTTTCCAGAATGACTCAGAAAATATGAGCAAAGCAACTATTAGAATTCTGGAAAACAACCAAAGCTGCACAGCAAACTGAAAATCATCTGAAAAGAAAAAAAAATATGAAATCTTGATGCAATTAGCAGTTGATTTCTCCATCAGGAAGCGCAGCAGCCAGAAGATGGGAAAGCAGTAGACATCAATAACCAAACATTCCAGTCCTTTTATCAACTCTTCTTGGAAAACAAGAATATAGGTTAACAAAATGTAAGTGAATTCAATACTCTCAGTGGAACTGCCTTGGAAAAATCCTAAAGACAGTCCTCTGGATTAAAGGAAAGGTTGCTGGTGGTTATGTTGAACATGCCAGACAGAAAGCTGGGAAGAGTCAGTGTATGGAAGTAGTGTCAGAGGCCTGTTCATTCTTGTAAATGCTCTGTGGAAAAGAAATGTAGCTACTGGGCACAGCTGGACAGCCTGAAATCCCAGCAGCTTCACAAGTTCAAGGCTAGCCTGGGCCATAAGATCCTGTTTCAACAAACCTATGATCAAACAAAAATAAACAAACAAAAAAAAAAAAACAAAGCAGTAATCCATTCTTTGTCCTTAAGAAGCTAGACAAATGAGCAAACTAAACCCAAAGCCAAGGGTTGGGAGTGTGCCTTAAGGGTAGAGCGCCAGTGTGGCCAGTGTAAGGCCCTGAGTTCAAACTCTGGTATCAGCCAGAAATAAGTAAGAACATTTTATAAGAGCAAAAAATAAAACAGAGAAGCCTAAATAACATTCAGAGGGCCTTTGCTGTGTGGTTCTGTTTTGTTTGAGATAGAGCCTTACTGTGTGGCTTGGATGGGACTGGAACTCTGTTGGCTCAGCAAGTGTCTCTCAGAAGAATGGTGAAATTTATGTTACCCCTTATTGATTGGAAGTTTAGCCCATCAGCAAGTGGTTATTGAATGCTTGCTTTCCAGCCCTGGAGTTTTAACTCAGGTCTTGTGATGCTAGGTGTTTGTACACAGGTAAAGAACCCAAGCAACAAAGGAGCAAATAATCCAGCCAACAAATGGACAGTGGCATTGGTTGGACACACTTGAGGAAGTACAAATGGCCAAACATATGGGAAAATGGTCAACATTGTTGGCCTCCAGGGAAATGCAAGTCAAAGTGACATTGATACTGTCTCACCTCTGTTCACATGGGAATAATTGAGAAAGACCAGAAAACCACTGGGGTTGGGGGTAGGGGGGTGGTCTCCATTCTTATCACTCCATCCCATGCACTACTTGGCTTTTTGAGCTTTTTTCATTCCACACAAAGATCTCCCAGCAAATGACATGATTTTTTTTTATGACTGAGTAATATTCAATGGTGTATATGTAACTGTATTTTCTTTATTCATTAGTGTTGGGCATCCTTGCTGGTTCTACTGTTTGGCCATTGTAAACAAAGCTGTAATAAACCTAATCTTTTTTTCAGGGCTAGGATTGAACCTGGAGCCTTAGGCCTGCCAGGCAAGTGTTCACTACCCAGCCACCCCTCAGCCCACTCTTAGTGTCTGATGGTGACCCCATCCCTCATTGCCCTGTCCCCGGTTCTTAGTGAGTTCTCACCTCAGCCAGCTGTGCATGTTAGAGTGGGGGGGGGGGGGAGGGCGGGGGTGAGGGGCCTCGCCCGTCGCTCCTCACAACCATAGAGCCGAGGAGCATCTCCTGTATTCTCTGTACACAGTAAACACTGTGAAGAACTGAGTGTTGGCACAACCTATAAGTAAAAACATTTAAAAAAAGCAAAAAACAAAAACCCAAGAAGCACAACCTTGAGGAAGAAGCTGGACCACAGCTGTTTTCCTGAAGGATGGCGGAGTTTGTGTGTGAGCTTCACAGCCCACCGGGAGCTGGTTCTTGGGGTGCTATTTCATCATGAGGCAGAGGGCGAGGGTTTACAGCTCCCCAAACTGGACAGTGATTGGGCAGCCATCAGCATTGTAACCTTCAGGACATCCAGGCCTTGGTTGTAGCCACACGAGGAGTCCACAGGGACACTAGGGTTCACCCACTCAGAACAGGGGTGTGCGGGGGCAGGAAGCTTACCTTGTAGTCCCTGCTCCCCTCCCACCTACCCCACCTTTATTTTTCTCCTCTCCAATCACCTTCATGCTCCCTTTGGGTGGCTGATGTGTTTCTGGAGTTCTTCAGGAAAACTGCATTTCAGCCTTGTCTGACCGTCTAGGGCAAGGGCATTGCCCATGCTGGCCGGCGCTCACCCCAGCGGAAGCCAGTGGCAGGTGTGCAGACCAGGTGCCACAGGGCATGGAGGGGCAGGGGAGGGTGATGGGGCCGGATGGGCAGACTGGGGGGCGAAGGGGAGGGAGAGGACGGGACTGCTGCTATGTTAGTGCTTGTCAGTAAATTAGGAGAGCAGCATGTGGAAAACTCCAAAGGGAGCGAAAGTTACGGACAAACTGCAAATGTGGGTGCCAGCACTCTACCACTTGAGCCACAGCTTCACTTCCAACTTTTTGCTGCTTACTTGGAGATAAGATTCTCACGGACTCTTCTGCCTAGGCTGGCTTTGAACAGTGATCCTCAGACCTCAACCTCCTAGGTAGCTAGGATAATTAGAGTGAGCTACCAGCCCGTGGCGTCTGTATCTTCTTACCCCAAATCCCAATTTCTCTGTCTCTGGAGATTTCCCTGGAGATGGGCAGAGAGCAGAAACAAGATGGTGGCAGCAGGCTCAAGACCAACGATTCATTGGAATATTTTTAATGAATCAATTAGTGCTGGTAACAAATACAAAAAATTACTAATTCCTTGTTAGGATAAATAAAGTGATAGATATAGTTCTTTTGAGTGCACATCAACTTTCTTATTTGTTACTAATATAAATCATTTTTTGTGAACTATCTAAGACAGATTGG